TAGTTATTTATATATATTTAGTTGTGTATTGATATTTATATTTTTCATTTTTTTCTCATTTTTTAAATTCTCATTTAATCAAATGTATGATTTTTTTTTTCATATTGTATTAAACTATTGAACTTATTTAATAAGTTTGGTTGCTATTATATCTTTATGTAATCTAAAAATTATTAATTGAATATTTTTATATTTTGTTTTTTTTTTATTCTTTAAAATTTTTGCTTTTCTTCATGAAAAGGAAGTTGATGTGTTTCCATTATTTTTTTTATACAGATATGAGACGAGGTATGCAAGGTGCATCTTTTTCTAGACAACAGGTTGATCTAGAGGGAAAAGGACAGAGGCCACTTTGTCCTCTTATTCAGGGGCCTCGTAGGGTTGTTCCTACACAGCAGCAGCTACCTAGCTTGAGCCAACCTCCCGCACAGTAGCAGCTTTCCAGTTTGACTCAACTTCCCACACAGCTGCAAGCAGGAGCAACCCATTATTACTCAGCCACCATTGGACGATGACCAGTACACTGATGATGATGCAACAATGGAGGAGGACACTAAAGAGCGTAATTTGGAGGCTGAGTTGGATGCTGAGTTTGCTATGCTTGATCCTGAGTTAGATGCTCAGCTAGAGGAGAAGCTATCACGTGCTGTCCCGAAGACAAGACGTGGCATGGATAAAGGAGATGATGCTCCTGCAGACCCAAGTCAAAGGAAGGTGCTTAGCCTTAATCGCCAAGGCACATTCAGCCATGAGAGGTTTGGGAGGACTACCACAGTAATTTGGAAGTACTTGTATGATGAGCTAGTGCTTTTTTGGTCTAGCTGGCCTGAGAAAAAGAAGATGGTTGCTTGGGAGAATTTCCAGGTATGAAAATTATAAAATAAAATGAAGTATTTTTTGAGAATTTATTTAGATACTATCATTTTATTTTATGGAATTTGGTATGGAAGTACAAGGTATATTTTATATGATTTTTTATATTTTATTTATTAATAGTGAAAAAAAATTATAATTTAAGCAAAACTTTGCTCTTTTTTTAAGAAAAATCAAATAAATTATTAATATTTAATTTTTTTTTTCATTGCAGAGGACATATTATTGGGAATAAGATGATGCTCGTGTGTATAAAATTTGGAGATTACATTGTCAGAACCGTTTCTAAGACGAGCTTCATCGAGCTCGAAAGGCATGGGTCAAGGACAAGAAGTTGCCCAAGTTCATGCATAAGGATACCTTTAAAATTTTGTTGGCAAAATGGAGGAGTCCAAATTATATTGCACTCCAAGAAAGAGGTTGGCAAAACCGAGCAAAGGGTGACCGTGTGACCCACACAACTAGATGCCTTTCTATTGGGATCTATGAGGATCAACTAGTTAGTAGGATATACTTATATATAAACATATATAAATTATTTTTTTTTACCATAAAAATGAAAATGTTATTGATTTTATTGATGTTTTAATAGGCAGTTAAAAGAGGAGGAGTTAGGCCGACACCTTTAAAATCGTACTTGTTGACTCACACGACTCGCCTACCTGATGCTCCAGAAGATGCCCCACCCACTTGGATATGTCCACAGGCTGAGCAAACATATGTAAGAATCTGATTCTTTTATGATATTAATTTTATTTATTTTTAATGTCATATTGCCCTAAAAGAAGAAAAGTGATACAATTTTTTATCTATTGTACTTAGGAAATGATTATTTTTCATTTAATTTCCCATTATCATTTGAAATTGCTAACTAATGAAATTTTTATTTTTGAAACAGAATGATGCTCACAAAAATATGTGGACAAGCATGGGTCAAACAAGGATTCATGGCCAGAATGGGATCCACTTATCTAGAAGGAGGTGGTTGGACCTCCTAAAAAGGGTCAAACGAGAGAGATGTCTACATTACAGGATCCAACAGAGCATGGCATCCCTTGGTGACGGTATGACATGAGTGACGCCTTCTCTTCTACCACCAGGATT